CGGCACATGTTACTTCTTTCACATGTGCAACTAAAGGGCCCTTTCCCGTTTCTAGAACTTCTAGCTCTTGAGACCTAGTATTATTTGCTGCTGGGAAAGTATAATGTTTCTGGCTTTTACCAGCCTCATCTTAAGTGGCTTAATCCTGGCACCTAGTAATAGAACTACCACTGCCTTAGCGTTAGAGAGGAGCAAACAACCCCACCTCACCACCCCTAGATTAATTTCTTTCTTTATGATCAAAAAATATCAAAGGGCCCTGCTGACATTTCCTTCTAGAATCTTGGGATTACAGGATTTTGCTACTGGAAAGGGCAGAGGATTTTTCTCCTCTCTATGCTCAAAGTCATCAACAATGCCTTTGTGGAAACAAATGTCAATAAAATTAGATGTTAACTTCTTGTGCCTAGTGCAGTGCCTGGTATATAGTAGGTCTTCAGGAGATGTTAGGCCTCTGCTTCCATTCCAGCCATACTGTGAAGGGTGAAGAGAGAAGAGACATAAAGAGGCTTCTGAGTTTCCTGCCTGTATCCTGGCATCAAGCTTGCTGGCGGCAGGGCTAGCCTCTCACAAGTGAGTATAGCACATATGTAGCACACTCCTGATAGCTTTCATGAGCAAAGAAAAATCTGGCTCTTGCCAGAGAGGTAAATGAAAGATTAATGCCAGTTAAATAATATATAATAGTAAGATCATTATCCTGTCTTCTCCCAGTCAACTAACTTTGTAATGTGTAAACACTTATGGGGCACACAAAATCAAACGACATAAACTGTTGTAAAGTGAATGGAACGATGCTGATTAGTCTGGCGGCACACAAGAAGACAAGAATTGTATTTCAGTTCTCTTTTTCGAGTGAGGAGACAGGCTGACATTCTGGACAATCATGACAAAATAAATTTCCTGTCCAAGTTTAATAGGCAACCATTCAATCTTTACAACTGGTGCCCCCGCAATACACACCCCCATGCTAACTTTCTCACAAGCTTCCTCTCTTTCTACCTTTAAGAGCAAAGGCTGGAACATCATAGTTTCGTCTTCAGAGCCATCAGCAAATATTGATCATGTTTCGTCAAGGTGTGTCCTGGAGAGACAGAAAACCCACATGACTGCCTTTTTCCATTTTTTCTTACTACGTGGTAAGAATGCAACAACAAACTAATATAGAAAAAGCCTTAAAGGGGGAACTTAAGATGGGGGTTGGGGGAGGTATAGTTTGCAGCGGAAAAGTAGAAAAGACATTTAAGTGTGAGCAGTGCACATTTTTGAAATTGCTTCTGAATCCACTATTATAGGTTACATTGTCAACAGGCTGTATTGATTATTTTTAGGTAATTTATTTGTAGAATTTCTGCTAATGGACACTTCAGGATCATCTTTTGCATTTAATGTATCTAATACCCATTGATCAGATCATTGGCTTATTGGTTATCTACTTTGCTGCCAAATGATTCTCTATAATTGCTTTCTTCATTACCCATTTTTATTCCAGGAGCAGCTTCTATTGTGTCCCATTACACTAATGGAAATTATTGATATGGAAATTAGTAGGCACTGAGCTTAAGAATTCTATGATGTGCACTCACATTGCATTTCTTTAAGTTGTAGATGTTCTTGTGTAATTAGCAGTAAATATTGACATGGTGAAATTAGTGAATTTAATTCAAAGCAAGAGAACAAGAAGCATCTTTAGAAAGGAAACACCAAATATTTTGCATAGCTATGTATACTTTAGTAAAAATAAATACGGCAAGTTTGGTGTTGTGTTTAACATGGTTTAGCATCCTGAGTTAAAGACAAGAGTGTTTTTGATTCTTGTTGCTATAAGCATGCTCATTTTCTAGATGGAAGAGTTAGCCTCAGGGTGGCTAATATCTGTGTTGTGTTATCCAATATGTTAGCCACTAGCTGCATGTGGCTGTTGAGCACTTGAAATGCAGCCAGTCTAAATTGAGATGTGTTATAATTATAAAAGGCACACCAAATGCTGAAGACTTCGCATGAGAAAAGGAATGTACAATATCTCATTAATTTTTTAATTGGTTATAGGTTGAAATGATAATATTTTGAATAGTCAGTCATAAATTGTTATTAAAATTTATTTTACTCTCTTTCTTTTTCCCTATTTTAATGTGACTACTAGAAAAAACTAAATGATATATGTTGTTCACATTACAGTTCCGTTGGACAGCACTGGTCTAGCATACATCCTAAGTGGGTAGAGTCTAGCACTTCACTGTGCCATATGGTCGCAAGTAGTCTCATGTGATAATTATATTTAAATGTAAATGATTTAAAGATAATACTTCTAAAATTCAGTTCCTCAGTTGTGCTGGTCACATTTCAAGTGCTATTGCTCTGTGTCGCTGGGAGCTACCAGACTGGACGACACAGATAGAGAAGCCTCATAGCATCCCAGAACATTGCATTGAAAAGTGCTGGTTGAGGTCAGGAGTTCGAGACCAGCCTGGCCAACATGGTGCAACCCTGTCTCTACAGAAAATATAAAACTTAGCTGGGTGTGGTGGCATACACCTGGAATCCCAGCTACTCGGGAGGCTGAAGTAGAAGAATCACTTGAACCCAGGAGGTGGAGATTGTAGTAAGCCAAGATCACACCACGCATTCCAGTCTGGGAGACAGAGCAAGATTCTGTCTCAAAAAAAAAAAAAAAAAAAAAAAAAAAAAAAAAAAAGAAAGAAAGAAAGAAGGAAAGAGAGAAAGAAAGGTGCTGATCCAGCATATCACTAAGCAAGCATTAAAACTGAGAATTCCTAGGCTAGGTGCAGTGGCTCACGCCTGTAATCCCAGTATTTTGGGAGGCTGAGGCGGTCGTATCATGAAGTCAGGAGTTCAAGACCAGCCTGACCAATATAGTGAAACCCCATCTCTACTAAAAATACAAAAAATCAGCTGGGTATGGTGGCAGGTGCCTGTAATCCCAGCTACTTGGGAGGCTGAGGCAGGAGAATTGCTTGAACCCAGAAGGTAGAAGTTGCAGTGAGCAGAGATGGGGCCATTGCACTCCAGCCTGGACAACGAGAGCAAAACTTGGTCTCAAAAAAAACCAAAAACCAAAAAACAAAACAAAACAAAAAAAAACAAAAATAAACCCTGAGAATTCCTCTCTGCTCCAGCCATTGTCCATGGAGACTGCAATGAAATGCCATGAAAATAAATGTGTCATATTAAAGGTAAAACTGTGCAAATAGTGATAACGCATAGTTGGCAATGATAGTTATTAAATCAAGTATTCGTCCTTGGAAAATCTAATCTCTAAGCACTGCTCAGAATATCGCTTCAGAGATGATATTTATCCATTGGGATGACCACTTAATTTTGAAGGACAGAAAAGATGCAAATTAGGCAGAAAAAAACCTGGTAACATGTATAGCATTTTAATAAGTTGTAGTGAACAAGAACTTCCATTTTGTCTCTGATCTCTTTGAAGGGGCTTGGAATTTAGACGACTGTGGTCCCCCAGCCAGACAATGCCAGTCTTCCTTCCTCTGTGCCCTGCTGCCTGGAGGTTAATTACTCTAAGAGTAATTAGAACTATATGTTTATTTAAGGGTACTGGGGGGGTTGCGGCGGGGGGATGTCACAGATTTTAAAGTAAACACTTAAGGGGAAATTTCTATAAAACCAAGAGTCAAAATTATTCCTAAACCTAAACCCTCAGAATCAGAAACAAAAATTAATGTCATCAGTTTCTCTTTGCTTTTGGCTGTGACCTTTTTGTCTCCCAGCGGCATAGAAGGCCCAGGTATCATCAGAAAAATAAGAAAAGTGGATATAGGAGTAAAAAGAACTGAGGTCTCATTTTCTTTCTTCGGCACACTCTCTTTTTCTTGGTGGGAATGGGAGTGTGTGCGCAAACACGTTTATTTAAATGTACATTTGATGCAACCACTCTGTAGTTTTGTTATGTTTATTCTGTTTGTCTAGAAGTGAAGATACCAGGGAAATTACCCTTTATTGAGTGCCTGCATGTTATTATTCTCTCCAGTGTTCAAAGGAGGAAACTAAGTCTTCCAATGATAACTTCCATTGTTCAACGTCGCCAGCCTGTTAGTAACTAAACCAGGATTTAAACTCAGGACTTCCCTAAAGCCAAGCTCTGTTTTACACTAAAATAGCTCTTCTGGGTACCGAGGCAGGCACAGTGGAGTTCCCTGCTGCCAGAATTAATGTGGGTATAAATGAGTTAATACTGCACACTGCTTCTGGGGCATGCGACATAGCCCATGAGAATCTCCGCGGACTCTGAGTCTAGAGGCTAAGAATCTTTGTCACTGATAAATGATCTGCTGGCCCTTAATCCTGATTCCATATTCCTCATTTGTAAAGCTGTTGGCGTATTTGCACTGAGTAGATCGCTCTCTCTACCAGCTTAGCTTCACATGGTAGTTTGGGATTTTTTTTCTTTAAGATTTCATAAAGCTGAGTGTAAAATGGGAATGTTTTCATAAACGCTTAAGCATCTTTAGTGAAGCTAATTTATAGAATTTAAATGTTCCTCTCCGGCAGTTTTAAACTCAAATTCCTCAGCGGTGGTGGGGGGTTGGGACCAAGAAACAGGAAACTGCTCTGTTTCATTGTTCCTGTTCAACAGTAAAAAATTAAACGGCTTAAAAAGTGCAAGCTAGAGAGAATTTTTTCAGACGTTCTCTCCTCTGAATTGGAGTGATGGTGATAAAGACACAAATGGGATCCTTCTCTCTCTCTGGGTCCCACCGCCCTCTCCCTAGCAGGGGGCCCGGCAGCCACACCTTGAATCTGTGGGTGACTCAGCCCCTATGGCACAGTGCTAAGTACAACACCCAGCACCTTACTCAGGTCACCTTTGCCAGCGGCGTGCCTCCCAGTCCCTCCCTTGGGAGCGGGTCTTGGCAATGGCGTGACTGGGTGGTGAAGAACCTGGATTGCGCAACCTTTCGAGGTTGTGTAACCACCACCAATGCACTTTTTTTGCACAGTCAGCTAGAGAGCGTAGCGCACAGCCAGTCTGCAGCGAGGTTCCCGTGGTAAGATTTTTCTGGGAGCGACTTTCTGTTTCTATTTTACGTCCCATCCTTGTTTTAGCATCTGTTTTTGTTGCCAGAAGATTAGATGGCATGAAGTCTGCTTTCCTCTCTCTTTTTATATGGAGCCAGGTGGTGTATGCGTAAGTAGATATTTAATATATCAAAACGGGGGGCCTTTCTCCTCACTTCTGGTTTATGGCTTTAGAAGTTCAAAAGCCTCCTTTTGCCTCTCAGCCCTAACCAAACTCAAAAGATACTCAAACTTCTCTCTGGATGTTCAGATTCAACTGGTTTTGTTGTTGTTGTTGTTTTGAGATGGAGTCTTGCTCTGTCAACCAGGCTGGAGTGTAGTGGTGTGATCTTGGCTCACTGCAAACTCCACTTCCCGGGTTCAAGCGATTCTCCCTGCCTCGGCCTCCCGAATAGCTGGGACTACAGGTGCGCACCACCACCCCCAGCTAATTCTTTGTATTTTTTTTTAGTAGGGACGGGGTTTCACCTTGTTGGCCAGGATGGTCTCGATTTCTTGACCTTGTGATCCACCCATCTCAGCCTCCCAAAGTGCTGGGATTACAGGCAGGAGCTACTGCGCCTTTTTTTTTTTTTTTTTTTAACTGTGCATAGCTGACACCATCTTAGCCTTCAGTTCAAGAGATTGTGGACTGTATAATAATATAAGTAATAGAACAGTTAACATTTAATAAGTGCTTATGCTGTACCCAGTGCCATATAATAGATACCTCAACCCATTTAATTCTCACAATCCTGAGATGTGTTATTATCATCTTCCCATTTTACTGGTGAAACAACTGAGGCTCAGAAAGATTCTGTAATTTATCCAAGGCCACAATGCTTATAAACGGCATGATGAGGAGAGCACCCTGGTCCATTTTATGCATATCTCATGTGTCTCACAGAGCTGAAGCTCAGCTTTCCAGATTGCCCATAGTAGAAAGGAAAGACATTCCTCAGGCTAGCCTCTAGGCTAACAGGATTTATCTCATTACATTAAATAGCTGTGTATTAGAAAATCATTCTGTTAGTCCAGGATAAGGTAGGCTACACTGCAGCAATCAACCTGAAGTATTAGTGGCTTAGCATAGCAAAGGTTTATTGCAGACTCATGCAAAATATAATGTGAAAGCCCAGGCTGGATGGAAGGGCAAGTGTTGATGTTTCAGCCAATGGTCCCAGCTGAGTCCAGCCTCAGAGTCATCCTGTCCCAGATCCCAGGCATATGAAGGAGGAAGCCTCCAGGCAATTTTTTTCTTTTCTTTTTTTCTTTTTTGAGACAGAGTTTTGTTCTTGTTGCCCAGGCTGGAGTGCAGTGGTGTAATCTCTGCTCACTGCAACCTCTGCCTCCCAGGTTCAAGTGATTCTCCTGCCTCAGTCTCCTGAGTAGCTGGGATTACAGGCACCTGCCACCACACCCGGCTAATTTTTTGTAGTTTTAGTACAGAGGTGGTTTCACCACATTGGCCAGGCTGGTCTCGATCTCCTAACCTCAGGAGATCCATCCCCCTTGGCATCCTAAAGTGTTGGGATTTCAGGTGTGAGCCACCACACCCAGGCTTTCCAGGCTATTTCTGCTGCTAACATTTCAAGTCACTTTCAGCTATTCATGTTGTTATGGGCTGTTTGTGTACCCTCAAAATGCATATGTCAAAGCCCTAATCCCCCAAAAATGATATTTGGAGATGGAACCTTTGAGAGATTATTAGGGTTAGATGAGGCCATGCCAGCATGTCGGGTGGACCTGGTCTGATAAAATTGGTGTCTTACCGAGAAAAGACAGCAGAGAACTTCTTCTTCTCTCTCAGAGGACAGAGTAAGAAGGAGCCCTCCCCAGAAACTGAATGGGCTGCCACCTTGATCATGAACTTCCCAGCAGCCAGAACAGGGAGAAAATAAATTTCTGTTGTTTAAGCCACCCATTCTATGATAGTCATAGTTAGGGCAGCCAGGCCAGGCATGGTGGCTCACAACTGTAATCTCAGCACTTTGGGAGCCTGAAGTGAGAGGATCACTTCAACCCAGGATTTCAAGGCAGCCTGGGCAACAGAGTGGGACACCCACGTATACAGAAAATAATAATAATAATTAGCTGGGTGTTGTGGCGTGCACCTGTAGTCCCATCTACTTGGGAGGCTGAGGCGGGGGATCACTGGGGGATCACTTGAGGCCAGGAGATCAAGGCTGCAGTGAGCCACTCACTATAGTGCCACTCACTATGTGATAGTGACACTCACTATACTCTAACCAGGGTGACAGAGTGAGACTCTGTCTTAAATAAAATATATAAATCAATAAAAATATAGTTATGGCAGCAAGTGCAGAGTAATACACAAATTTTTCCCAGCTGAGGCTCCAAATAGCATGGAATTAGATAAGATATCCCACTTTGTCCTGTCTGACCTCCTGGCCCACAGAATGCATGAGCCTATTACAATGGTTGCTGTTTTAAGGATGGTTATTTATGAAACCACAGACAACCTATACACACACAATAGATTTGTGCACACCACAGGGTATAACTTTCATTCACTCAACAAATATTTACTGAACACATACTAGGAGCCAGACACTATTCTGAGCATGTATCAGTGAACAAAACAGATAAAGACCTGTCCTCGTACTGCTTATATTGTATAGGGATAAAAATTGCTGTTTTTAAAAATAATCATTTTAAGTATATTTTTCTAGTTACCAAAGTAGCACTTGCTTATTCAATACCTTGAGAAATCATGAAAAGGTACAAAACACACAAAAAAAATGCAGAAATAATTCATGATGCTAATATTATTTTATTATCTGACAATCACACATGTATATAGATGAACAAACACACTCTTGAAACTAGAGTCACACTTTCTATTCAGTTTTATATCCTGCTTTTATTTCACTTAGTTATTGCAGACTTTTTCTCCTGTCATTGAAATACAATTTTTAATGGTTGCATATTGTTCCAGCCTGTAACAATACCAATTATTTAAACATCCTGCAACAATTTTACATTACAGTTGATTCCAATTTTTCACTGTGATAAGCAACGTCTTGAAGAACAACTTTGTACTTGGATCTTCGGCTGCATCTCTGATTAGTTCCTTAAAATATAATCAGAGAAGTGGGATTACTGTTCAAAGGATATGCAAATGTTCAGGCTCTTGATAAATATTGTCAGATTACTTTCCAAAATGTTAGCGCCAATTTACATTCTCACCTGTATTTTATAAGATGTCTCTCTGGTATTCTTGCCAATATTCAATATTAGAGTGTTCGTAATCTTTGCCAATTTGTTGCATTAAAGAATGGTATTTCATTTTAAGACTGGTTGACTGCCTAGGTCGCTCAATAATTATTGGGATTCGTCTAAATCCGAGTATTTAAATCCTAGCTCTGGCACCCTCTAACAAAATACGTAACCTCTCTAAGCCTCAGGGTTTTTTTCCTACCAAATGGTGACATTTATTCTGACTTCTTAGGCTATCTGGTGGATTTAATATGTTCAAGTTTATAAAGGGTTTACCATCGAGCCTGTCAAATGTTAGCTATTATCACAGGTGTCACAATTTAGAAATTATCAGTACATGAATAATTCCAGCCTTTTCCTTTTCCTGATGTGTGTTAAAGAAGATCCTGATTTTGCTTCATCATATTGCTCTCCCTTCTCTCTCCTTTGAAGGAGAAGCTTGCCATACTTCGGGGCTTTGTGAATTAGAATTTGGGGGAATGAGAGAGAAGAACAGGGAGACACATTGACCATTGACAGATTACCCAAAACCCAGTGGCTAACAACAAACGTTTATTCTCTTGTACGTGGGTCTGCGGTTGGCTACAGTTAGACTGACTGTGGCTGGGCTGGGCTCAGCTGGGTGGTTCTGCATCAAGCTGTGGATCCAACTGGACTGGATCCAAGTTGTGAATGGGTTCATGTCTGCCCCCTGTATGCATGGTTTGGGACACATATGGATAGAGCAGAAAATACCCAGGGCATATCCTCATGGTAGATTACCAGAGCATAAGAGGTCAGACCAAAACACACAAACACATTTAAGACCTCTGCAATGTTAGATCTGCTAATACTCCTTTGGCCAAAGAAAGTCACATGGCTTAACTCAACATCAGTAGGCTGGAAAGTCTCCTCTTCCCACAGTGGGAAAGGGAAAGGAAGTGAATATTTGCTGAACAAAAGGTCGTAATAAATGTTTCCAGAAATTTGCAAGAAGAGGTTATATGCAGTGCAGTGTAAGAAAACAGAGAAAAATAATTGTGAAATATGTTGGGTGTGTGTAAGATTTCACAAATCAGGTTCCTCTTAATTTCTGGAAGACTCCAATTAAGAACGCCATGTAAGTTATTTTTTACCTGTTTAGACTGGAATATGTTAAATTCAACCTCCCCTCAGGACTGATCTTATGGGGTAATGGCTTTGATAGAGTTATGTAATGGAAACCATGGAAACCATGCTATCTTTTCTATTGCCACAACCCTACACAGCTCTTCCTCTTTGGGTATTTTAGATCTTTCAAACATATCCTAATGGTTCTCTCTTTTTTTTTCCTTCCCTTAGAAGAAAAATATGGGCAGCAGCTTCCTGATTGTAATTTACCAAGAAGCAGCACAGTCTCTGCAGGAAATATGTCAGCAGCTCCATTGTCCTCTTATTTAAAGTAGGACAGACACCAAGCTTGAGAAAACTTGAAGAGGAGGACTCAGAGGCAGAAAATGCGAGCAACCAAGTCAGTCCCAGTCATGACTCACAAGCTCCAACTTCACTTATGGAGTCATCCAGTGAAATCAAATTGATAGTGAGAACAGGGAGCAGCAATGATCAGAGCGAGCCAAAAGAGCTCTGTTGAGAGGAACCATGTCATTTTCTCAGCCATTATTGTTGGTGTCTCCCTGAAGACCATTTACTTGGAACTTAGACAGGAGACTAAATTCTGTGATCTCTGGGTTTGCTTAGCTCTGTAGACAGCTGGTATATCACATACAAAATATTACCCCACGCTCTCATAGTGTGATGAGTTGTTAATAAAACCATTCCAAATTTTTGGTTCTCATTCACTCTGAATGTAGATAGTACTGGCTGAACATGGATATATCAGCTCTGCTTATCACTCTAAATGTCATCTGTCTTTAACTTTATCCAAAACAGTTTTATTTTGCTTCAGAGAAAGCAATGTTCTCAATTTCTTGAAAATCCAAGCCAAGCAGAATCACAGTATGAAGAATTATGCTAAATATTTGGTCCTCAGCCTTCCTGGAGCTGTGGCATGAAGCATCAGTGGCCTCAATATGTGTTGGGTTTTCCTTGGAATAATGGATAACACATGTGCTTTCAAAATTTTATGTATATTTGAGAGTTTGGGGATAGGGAACTGTCCATAATTCTGTCTCCTCAAGACATTACAAGACGTTTTCCTATCTTTCTGTATTTCCACCAAGAGGACATGTGAGTATATAAAAATTCCCTAATATTGTTTCTCCCTCACTCTCACCCCATCCCCAAATAGTTGTTTTATTTGGTTTGCTTTCTTTCTGAGGTTTCAGTATAGGCAATATTTTAACATGGTTTAAAGCTTAGATTAAGATTAAGGATTTGGACAACACAGTTTGAATTGTCAGCTATTTCCTAACTGCAACTTTTAATAAGGTATAGATTCTTCTTCTGAAAACAAGAAAAATAATTCCTGCTATCTTGGCTTCCCAAATTGCTGGGATTGCAGTTCTAATAATGGATAGCAGAGCAGGGTTGAAGTAGGAGGTGGGACTCAACTCCAGAGGTGGGGCTTGGACACCAGACCAGATTGAGGACTAGCTAACACAGGGCCAGGGTGGGAGTGGCTTTCCAATCAGACACACCCACCAGTGTGCCAGGTCAGTTTACCATCACCATGAAAACACCAGGAGTTATTGCCCCTTTCTGTGGCAATGATCCAATGACCCAAAGACTACTACCCCTTCCCTAGAAATTTCTGCACAAATTGCTCTTTAATCTGCATGTTATTAAAAATAGATATAAATGTGACTGCAGACCTGCCCTGACTGCTACTCTGCGTACAGAGAAGCTCTGTTCTGCAGGAGCGGTCACACCACCGGTGCTGTAACACTGCTGCATCGATAAAGCTCTTTTCTTCTACCCCTGGCTTGCCCTTGAATTTTTTCCTGGGCAAAACTAAGAACCCTCAAGGGCTAAGCCCCACTTTGGGGCTCATCTGCCCTGCATCAGGGTGATTGTAGTTAAGGACAGTGTATTATATATTTCAAGGTAGCTAGAAGAGAGGACTTGAACTGTTCCCAGTACATAGAAATGATAGCTACTCAAGGTGATACGTGGCCCAATAACCCTGACTTCATCATTATACATTCCATGCAGGTAACAAAATGTCACATGTATCCCATAAATATGTAAAATGCTATGTATCAATGTAAAAAAGTAGCATGCATGCCCCTCCCCAAAGAATTGAGCAAATGAATAAGTGAATGAATGGTAGTTATTTGCTATTTTCTGGTAGCTGTAATCAGAAATGATATTCAAAAGATGGGCCATCAACTAGTTGCATGAGGCTTTAATCCAGAGGCAGTTGGGGTGATATGGGACACACTCAGGGGGATCAGCCCCCAACTGGTGCAGAGGTGTTTTATTACTCAACAATTGGCTGTCTGTGTTGGTGTGCTCTGTCTGAATGTCAGCCCTGCCCGTCAACACTGGCATCAGGTCCTCTACACTCTTCCCCAATCCCTTTTTGACCCCAAACACCAACATTGGCAGGATGACTGAGTGGGATGAAGGTTGACCGTAGAACTTTTTTCCTCCTCAGTGCAAAGCCAACTGGCCCGTACCAGTATCAACCTCAACTTTGGCTTCTTTGGCCCTGCACTGTGAGATTTGAGCCACTGGCCTACGCAACCAGCTTCTAGTATTACCACGAACCGATCTTTTTCTACCTTGGAAATTTTCATTGTAACCACTCCACATTTTTGCTATGATCAGGCTTATGATTATAAGGCAGGAACTTGAACATTGCAGGGTGGGTTGGCACACTTCTTCAGAGGGACTAGCAAGGGCACATGTCCTCCTTCCAATTCTCTCTTAAACTGAATCACTCCTCTGGCTTGGCCAGGAAGATACCAGCTTTGCCAAGGTGACTTTATTATGTGTATCCTGGTGCACATTCCGTTTTGCGTATATAGCTCTGTTTCCTGGAATTATTATTTTTGGTAGGATTGGGGTTGATTTCTGGCGATGTGTTATTTTTCCAGCTGAAGTGTTTTATTCCTGCACTTAGACATTCCATGAAGCTTTGTGAAAACACTCGCCCTGCTCTCGGGAAGTTGTTTGTAGAGGGTAATATTGCCCTGAACTTTTCCTTCCAGGCCATGGTGCAATCCACAGGACCCAGACGAGTTGCCGTTCTGATGTGCTTGTTCACTGAAGGACTTGGGGCTTAAAACTTGATTTCTCTGAGCCTTTGTTATCACAACTGTAAAGTGGCGATAAGGAGAGAACAAAAGAGGTAATGTGAATGGAAGTATAAAGCAATCTCAGATAGTCATTCATTACCACGCATCAGCCATAGTTCCTGACTGTAGGGAGCTACGCATTTGTGGGGGAAATAACACATTCATGGTCAATTAAGATACAGACTCAGAAGTCCTGCAAACAGGGATAAATGCAAGGTGTTATAAAAGCACATGGGAACAGGGCTGAACTTAGTCTTGAGGGCTTGTTAGAAAAAGCATAGAAAGAGTAGGAATTATTAATAGTAATGACAATTAAAATTAGTGGGGTGCTTACAATTCACAATTGCAAAAATATGGAACCTGTTGAAATGCCCATCAATGACTAGATAAAGAAATTGTGGTGTGTGTATACCATGGAATACTGCTCAGCCATAAAAAGGAAAGAAATAATGGCATTCACAGCAACCTGGTGAAACATGCCCCAGTAACCCTGGAATGAGAATAATACATTCCCCAATAACCCGGGAATAGCCCTGGATGGAATTGAGACCATTATTCTAAGTGAGGTAACTCAGGAATGGAAAACCAAACGTGTGTTCTCACTCATAAGTGGGAGCTAAGCTATGAGGATGCAAAGTCATAAGTATGATACAAAGAACTTAGGGCATTCAGGGGAAAGGGTGGGAGGGGGTGAAGGATAAAAGACTGCAAATTGGGAACAGCGTATACTGCCCAGGTGATGGGTTCACCAACATCTCAGAAATTACCACTAAACTTATTTATGTAGCCAAATAACACCTGCTCCCCCACCCCCCACCCCCCCCCCAAAAAAAACTGTGGAAATTAAAAACAAAATAGTGGGATGATTGCTGTGTGCCAAGTAGTATGCTAAGCATGACCTCATTTAGTGCTCACAAAGTGTGCCTATCTCATAGGGGTTTTAACTGTCATTTTATAATCAGAGAAACTGGTCCAGAAAGCTTCAGTAAGTTGCCCAAGGACACACAACTAGGTGGCATGGTCAGATCTGAATTTAAGTTGGATTCCAGAACCCTTGTTTTTAACCACTACGCAAATCTGTTCATGCCATGACCCTGCTTAAAACTGACCATTTGTGGCCAGGCGCAGTGGCTTACCCCCATAATCCCAGCATTTTAGGAGGCCGAGGTGGGTGAATCACCAGAGGTCAGGAGTTTGAGACCAGCCTGGCCAACGTGGTGAAATCACGTCTTTACTAAAAATACAAAAACTAGCTGGGCATGGTGGCACATGCCTGTAATCCCAGTTCTCAGGAGGCTGGGGCAGGAGAATCACTTGAACCTAGGAGATGGTGGTTGCAGTGAGCTGAGATCATGCCATTGCACTCCAGCCTGGACGACAAGAGAAAAATCTCTGTTTCAAAACAACAGTAACAACAACAGAAAAAAAAAAAAAAAAATCCTGAGCATTTGTGACTTCCCACTGCTCACAGGATAATACTAAACTCCTTTTTTTTTTTTTTTTTTTTGAGACGGAGTTTCACTCTTGTTACCCAGGCTGGAGTGCAATGGTGCGATCTCGGTTCACCACAACCTCCACCTCCTGGGTTCAGGCAATTCTGTCTCAGCCTCCTGAGTAGCTGGGATTACAGGCACAGCGCCACCATGCCCAGCTAGTTTTTTGTACTTTTAGTAGAGACGGAGTTTCACCATGTTGACCAGGATGGTCTCGATCTATTGCCCTCGTGATTCACCCACCTCGGCCTCCCAAAGTGCTGGGATTACAGGCGTGAGCCACCGCGCCCCGCCTAATGACTAAACTTCTTTACATCCCTAAAAGTTTCCTGCCCAACCTCCTGGTCTTACTCTTCACCCTTTTCTCTGCCCCCCATCCCATGGTCATCAGCCTCAGCAGCAGGTCTTAAAGGATATACTCGGCTAAGGAGTCTGAGCTTGTCCTATCAGCAATAGGGAGCCACGGAGCTTTTAAGCAAATTGAACAAGACAAGACCTGAAAAGGCCGGTAAGGAGGCGGTTGAAGTAACCCAAGCACAGATACATGGAGGTGTGAACTAAGGGATGGAAAGAGGGAGGGAGAGGGAGAGGGATGACTTGGATTTAAGGCATTAAACATATGGAATCTACAAATCTTGGTGACTGATGAAGCAGGGGAGTCAAGCAAAGTGAGGACTCTAGGCTTCTACCCACATTTCTAGCTTGGACGACAAGAGAGCACTGGCTATTTTTAAGGAACTGCTATCAATGCCTCACAAAAGCAAATGATACCTATGATTCTGCGTTTTTATTATGGATATGTTGCAGGGCCCTGAAAGCTGTAAGGTAATTTCCCTTCCCTGTCCCTTTTGTTCACTCCCTTCCAGGTGAGTCTGGGAATTTACTGAAAGCTCAGCAAAACCCATCACCCGTGCCGCACCCCCACCCCCGCCCGAGGTGAACTACAAACCCACACAGCAGTCCCAGGTTAGCAATCCAACGGTGCCTGAAATTAAGCTTTTAAACACTAACATCAATCAAGCCCAAAGAACCTAACTTGAAATGAAGAGGTGTTTAAAAGAAGTAGGCTGAGGTACACCGAGAAAAACAATTTAAATTATTAAAGTG